AGGGTATCTTATATGTTAAGGTTTTCTATTTTGTCGGAGAAATTGAGAAAAAAGTAATGCTTTTAAGTAAGTCAGTCAGAACAATACTTTATTTTTTAAAGTGTATTTCTTTTGTTTCATATTACCCTTCTTGTAGGAGTGACCATTGCAATCGTCTTCAAATTTGGTGAAGTATTATTGCTTTATATATTTTTAAATACCTATTGTTAATATCTTTCTGAGTGGGTCTAGGCCTTTTCGCTACCTAATTTTGTGTCTTTTCAAAGTTAAAAATGTAGCAAAACAAAATTTTTTAGGATTTTCACTAATTGCATAAAATACAAAGGACTTGTTTACTTATTAACTAATAAGGTATTCTAGACAGGACTTTATAGTAACATTATCTTTTTTAACTGACTAATAATGAAAAAAGAGCAACGCAACACCTCCACAACAAATTGTTGCTACAAAATATTTTCCTCATCATACTGTATGTAATACCCAGAAAGTAATTATCGTTTTATTGTGTTCATTGTAGGTATTTATGTTCCACTTAGAAAGATTATTATTATGATTTTTAAATGTACATAAAAAATGGTACTAATAAAAATCTTAACATTGCGTTCTTCGTTGTTGCAATTATTTGTATTGGTCCTTGCATGGGGCTCCTTCCACGTCGCTTGATAGATTTTGAGAGTCTTAGCCCCTATAACAGGGTAGAAATTGAACTTTCAAGATTGTTAAATTAAAAGTAAAAAAAAGAAGACTTTAAAAAGAAAGGGTGCAAAATGCTCACCGGTTACTTCTGCTCTTATTGTCCTTGCATGGGCTCCTTCCACGTCGCCTGATAGATTCTTAGTCTTACCCATTTAATAGGATAGAAATTTGAATTTCAAGCTGCTTTAATTAAAATAAAAGTAAAAACAAGATTTTAAGAATGAGGGGTGTAAAATGCTCACCAGTTATTTCTGTCCACATTGTCCTTGCGTGGGGCTCTCTACGTCCATCATGTGAGTTTCACAATTTCAGCCCCTATTATAAAGCAGAAACTTAACATTCAAAATTGTTTTATATATTATGTAGTTAGGATATGCAATCGCCTATGCTGCAGTGTACGATCTGTTGCCTACCATTTTATAAACAATTCCTTTGAATTAAATTTTTTAAACAATTTCTAACACTAGGAAAATGATTAAACAAATTGTCCATAAAAGTGAATTTCGAGCTTACCGTGACTGATAAGTGGGAAGAACTAGTTAAAACAGAAGCAAAAGCAGGATTCTAAGAATGAGGGTTGCAAAATGCTCACCCGTTGCTTTTGTTTAGACTTTCAGAATTGCTTTATATATTACGTAGTTAGGATCTGCAGTCCTATCCTATGCAGAAGTATAATCGAGAGTATAACATTTTTAAACTGTATTCTTGATGTAAAATTGGTAGAAGTTGAACTTGTGCAGGAACTTTACAAAGTATAGCCCACAATACTCCGAAAAACGGTTGTAATTGGTTTAAACTTTTCACTTGATTAACATTTATCTATAATACTAGGTAACAATTGCGTAAATGAGGAATAAAGACAAAATTTCACAATTTTCTTTTAAATTACACTGAAAAACGTAAACATTACCTATTACATAACCTATGATAAACTAAACGTCAAGTAAGTTGTGTTCAATAATGTTAAAACTTTATCATTTACATTGTTTATATTTTTCCTTACATTTTTCAATAGTTTACAGCAAAATCATAAACCATGTGCTATAAAATACCGCTGTGATATGTATTTTGTCTTTATTGCTTGAATTAAGGTCAATATTTATGTTTGGATCATTTTAAAGTAGATTCACAATCTTCAGATCTTCAAAATGAACGCACCTTACATTCATGTCTATTAAAAAATAATAATAACACTAAGTTAAAAGAGAAACCGCGGGAAACGACCTTATGCGACTTATGCTCTCCTAATACAAAATCGCAAATTTTCGAAGTGCTCAACACAAAATCTAAAATAACGGTGTCCGGCGCCTTCACCATTTTTTTAAATTATTTAATTGATTGCTTTTAATAAGTCGAGGTTTTTATATGAAAATTAATTCAAATAGGCAGTAATATTGATTTTTAATCATTAATGAACATATTTATATATTTATAAGATAACTGTTAATAACTTATAGCTTTTAATGTGTCTTGAAGTTTTGAAATAATTTATTTTCGGTTAATAAACCTATTCAGTTTCATTTCTGTTATCTTATTTTTATGTTTTATAATAATAGACTGGTTTATTAATTATTTTATTGTCAATAAATTAATAGGTCTGTTTTTATAAGACACGCAGTGTTTAGTACCTATAATTTGCGAATTATAAGTACATTACTTAACTGCTCTTCAAAATTACTATGAAATGTGTTAAAGTAATAAGGTTATTTATTGAATATTTTATTTAATAAATTTTAGTGCGCCTAAGTCCATCGAAATGTGTATTTATTGTAAAAAATAATAAAATTAAACGACTTGTACATTACGTTTTATTTATTATTTAATTTATTAACTGTGTAATTACATTTGGTACAATTTATTTCACTTACACGTAAATTGTCCATATTGTCCTCACGTAGGGCTCTTTCTACATCCCTCATGAGATGATGACAGTCTTAGACCCTATAGTAAGGGAGAAACTAAGCTATCAATATTGCTTAATTAAAATAAAAGTAAAAACAAGAAGATTTTAAATGTGAAGGGTGCAAAATGCTCACCGGTGTTTCTGACCATATTGTCCTTGCGTGAGGCTCTTTCTACGCCCCTCATGTGATTATGACAGTCTTAGACCCTATAATAAGGGAGAAACTAAGTTTTCAATATTGCTTAATTAAAATAATAGTAAAAACAAAAAGATTTTAAATGTGAAGGGTGCAAAATGCTCACCGGTGTTTCTGACCATATTGTCCTTGCGTGAGGCTCTTTCTACGTCCCTCATGTGATTATGACAGTCTTAGACCCTATAATAAGGGAGACACTAAATTTTAAATAATGCTTAATTAAAATAAAAGTAAAAACAAGAAGATTTTAAATGTGAAGGGTGCAAAATGCTCACCGGTGTTTCTGACCATATTGTCCTTGCGTGAGGCTCTTTCTACGTCCCTCATGTGATTATGACAGTCTTAGACCCTATAATAAGGGAGACACTAAATTTTCAATAATGCTTAATTAAAATAAAAGTAAAAACAAGAATATTTCAAAAATAAGGAATGCAAAATGCTCTCCGGTTACTTCTGTTCTTATTGGCCTTACTGGGGGCTTCTTTCATGTCGCTTGATATATTTTGAGAGTCTTCGCCCCTATAATAAAGGAGAAACTAAACATTCAATACTTCTTAATTAAAATAAAAGTAAAAACAAGAAGAGTTTAAATGTGAAGGGTGTAAAATGCTCACAGGTGTTTCTGACCATATTGTCCTTGCGTGGGACTCTTTCTACGCCCCTCATGTGATTATGACAGTCTTAGACTCTATTATAAGAGAGAAACTAAGTTTTCAATATAGCTTAATTAAAATAAAAGTAAAAGTAAGAAGATTTTAAAAATAACAGGTGCAAAATGCTCACCGATTATTTCTGCCCATATTCTCCTCACGTAGGACTCTTTCTACATCCCTCATGAGATTATGACAGTCTTAGACCCTATAGTAAAGGAGAAACTAAGCTTTCAATATTGCTTAATTAAAATAAAAGTAAAAGTAAGAAGATTTTAAAAATAACAGCTGCAAAATGCTCACCGATTATTTCTGCCCATATTCTCCTCACGTAGGACTCTTTCTACATCCCTCATGAGATTATGACAGTCTTAGACCCTATAGTAAAGGAGAACCTAAGCTTTCAATATTGCTTAATTAAAATAAAAGTAAAAGTAAGAAGATTATAAAAATAAAGGGTGCAAAATGCTCACCAATTTTTTGTGTCCATACTGTCTTCACGTAGGACTCTTTCTACATCCCTCATGAGATTATGACAGTCTTAGACCCTATAGTAAAGGAGAAACTAAGCTTTCAATTTTCCTTAATTAAAATAAAAGTAAAAGTAAGAAGATTATAAAAATAAAGGGTGCAAAATGCTCACCAATTTTTTGTGTCCATACTGTCTTCACGTAGGACTCTTTCTACATCCCTCATGAGATTATGACAGTCTTAGACCCTATAGTAAAGGAGAAACTAAGCTTTCAATTTTCCTTAATTAAAATAAAAGTAAAAACAAGAAGATTTTAAAAATAACGGGTGCAAAATGCTCACCGATTATTTCTGCCCATATTGTCCTCACGTAGGACTCTTTCTACATCCCTCATGAGATTATGACNTAAAATCATTTTCAAAATTGGATGTGGGTAATATTAGTAAATAGTTTTATGTTACTTACTTGTAATATTATAAATATCGTTACGAATAACACGACGACACATAGGCAAGCAATTATTGCAATGCCTGTCATGAAATTGAAAGGGTTAACTAATTGAAATGTTGAAACTGGTTGAGCTGAAAGTAGGTATGCTTGCACATTTATTCTTCTCTTGTCCGCCTGATTCTTGCAACCTAAAATAAATAAAATGTTCACATTAATTCAAAATTATCTAAAATACCGTAGTTCATTTATTATAAGTATGTAACTTTTACATCCCTTGTAGACTTTCATAAAACAATTTTAAAAAATGTACCTTGACAATTCCTGCAGGAGTAATGGCACTTTTGACATCCATAATCCGTTTTGTAATATCCATCAGGGCAGTCAGGACGACATTCTCCGCCCGCCAGTTGCCATTTTGGCGGACAACTCACACATTGATCATGACCAGGCCCGCTACATGTCTCGCAACTCAAATAACACCGAGTGCAGACCCCACGATCACTGTAATAACCAGCTGCACACGATGCTCTACATTCACCTCCCTGTAGCTACAAAATAGAAAGATTACTATTGTATTTTTCCAAGAATGTTCTTAAAAAGGGATAAAAGCAAGATTTAGAACATAAAATGATGATTAAGACTTAAGAAAATGTAGTTATTGTACTAATAAAATAAAATATTTACAAGTAATCCGTTGGTACAAATGGAGCAGTTTGTTTTTGAGACACATTCCTGACAGGTGTGATAGCAGGGTTCACATGTTCGGGACATTTTATCGTGGAAAGAACCCTTTTCACATTCGGCTACGCAGTGGGTTCCTTGTAGAATAAGGGGATTCGCGCAGGATAAACAGGTGTGTTCTGTAGGTCCATCACATGTTTCACACGTCGAGTGACACGGCTTACAGTTACCGCCGTCAATATACTGATCTGAATAATAAAAGTAAATTACATTAAAAAAGAGTTTAGTTCTACTTTGGATCATATTGTTTTTACCTGTTCCACACTTTTCGCTTCCATGAGGAACACATCTTCCTTTTGAATTGATTTGCCAATCGTCGAGACAGGAAATGCAGGTAGTTTTGTTGCATTCTGAACATCCTGGAGGGCATTCGACACATTCTTTTTGGACTGTGTCGGCATAATGATGGGCAGGACAGTCCTTTAAACATTGTCCTTCATGCCAGTAACGTCCCAACTCGCAGGATATGCATTGTGTGCTATTGGAACCGTGACAAGTACCACAAGTTTCATGACAGGAAGAACATCTGAACAATAAAGAGTGATTTTTATCATTTAGAAACAACTGAATTAGTAATGGTAGACATACGTGTAATCTTCTGTTTCAAACATAGCTAACTAAAAACTCATATAAAAGTTGTGGAAGCCAGGTTTGACCAGAGTTTGCCAGCTTGCAGTTGCACATTTTTCTATTTACATCGTGGGGATCCCACATTTGAAAATGAGGGGTAGAAAATGCTCAACGGTTACTTTCGTCCACAGTGTCCTTGTGTGGGGTTATTTCTACGTCCCTCATGAGATTATGACAATCTTAGACCCTATAGTAAGGGGGAGACTAAACTTTCATTTTGCTTAATTACAATAAAAGTAAAAACAAGAAGATTTAAAAAATAACGGGTGCAAAATGCTCACCGGCTACTTATGTCCATATTGTGCTTGCGTGGGTCTCCTCCTACGCTCTTCATATGATTTTAACAGTCTCAGCCCCTATAGTAAAAGTGAAACTTTACTTTCAAAATTGTTATATATTTTACGTAGTTCGGATATGCAATTGCCTATGCTGCAGTGTATGTGTGTTGCCTACGATTTTATAAACAATTCCTTTGAGATTAATTTTTAAAAGATTTCTAACACTAGGAAAATGATTAAACAAATTGTTCACGAAAGCTTCTGCAGTTAATTCTGAATACTACATTCCACTCAAAGGAGACGCTTATGAAAGAAATTTAAAAGTTACTTATCTGGGGCAATAAATGATACAGAAATAAAAGACGTACACATAAACAAAATCATTTATTTAAATTTTGCAAGGGTTCGTCAGTGACAATATTTTCCGGTTCGGTTTAATAATTAATTAAGTGATTACAATAAAAAATTAACATTCACATTACATAGTACAATTTGCGCAACAAACACAATAGGAAAAAAATATATTTAACTACAACGGATGCTGATCGTTTAAAAACATAATATATTTATTAATTTGTGATCACTGAGTTTAATTGCGGTTAAATTTTTATAATTAACACCTAAAACAATTACCTGTTCAGTTATATAGAATGTGTACATTTAAAAATAACTATATGTCCGTCAAATAAAATATCAAGAGCACTTAATCTTGTTTCATAGATTTGATTTTTAGTTTCGTTTTTTACATATATATTTATATTTTGTTTTGTTTTGTTTCATGCAAGTTAAAGAACTGTCTTCATTGATAGTTACGTGTTACGTTAAAATCTTTGTAATAAATACACACAGCGATTTGGTACAAATGGTAATCATTTTGTTCTTATAAATATCACACCATATTTACAATACTTATCACTATTTACCTTATCTTTATAAATTACACACTCTTGCGTATTTCTAGCGTTGTTCGCTTCTCGCAATAGTTGTTTTGTTAAATTCTTTTTACAAAAAAGGAATTAGACAATGAAGACAGAAAGTGTCGTTGATACACATTAAAGAGGGTGAGGGTGGGAAGATGATTTAGGCGATGGTTGTGTCCCCCGTATAAGTTAGCATTCGCTCTGGTTGTGATTTTGACTGGTTTTCGTATTTATCAAATTCTGTCCCTCCGTACTGTCTGAATCACTTGTGTCGTCGTCATTTACAGCCACAACGTTATAATTGCATGTTACTTTGGGCTTTTTGATCGACACCCTGCTGTAGCCACTTTGGGAGGCGTGGACAGTATTTCTCTGAAAAACAAAAAAAGTTTATTTTAAATTACATAATTAAATATATATTTGGACTTTTTGGACTTTAACTGTTGTTCGTTTGATGAAACATTTCTTGTGAAATTACTTTAACTTTTTAAAACGTTCCCAGCTTTTTTGTAGGGTGTAAAATCATTTTCAAAATTGGATGTGGGTAATATTAGTAAATAGTTTTATGTTACTTACTTGTAATATTATAAATATCGTTACGAATAACACGACGACACATAGGCAAGCAATTATTGCAATGCCTGTCATGAAATTGAAAGGGTTAACTAATTGAAATGTTGAAACTGGTTGAGCTGAAAGTAGGTATGCTTGCACATTTATTCTTCTCTTGTCCGCCTGATTCTTGCAACCTAAAATAAATAAAATGTTCACATTAATTCAAAATTATCTAAAATACCGTAGTTCATTTATTATAAGTATGTAACTTTTACATCCCTTGTAGACTTTCATAAAACAATTTTAAAAAATGTACCTTGACAATTCCTGCAGGAGTAATGGCACTTTTGACATCCATAATCCGTTTTGTAATATCCATCAGGGCAGTCAGGACGACATTCTCCGCCCGCCAGTTGCCATTTTGGCGGACAACTCACACATTGATCATGACCAGGCCCGCTACATGTCTCGCAACTCAAATAACACCGAGTGCAGACCCCACGATCACTGTAATAACCAGCTGCACACGATGCTCTACATTCACCTCCCTGTAGCTACAAAATAGAAAGATTACTATTGTATTTTTCCAAGAATGTTCTTAAAAAGGGATAAAAGCAAGATTTAGAACATAAAATGATGATTAAGACTTAAGAAAATGTAGTTATTGTACTAATAAAATAAAATATTTACAAGTAATCCGTTGGTACAAATGGAGCAGTTTGTTTTTGAGACACATTCCTGACAGGTGTGATAGCAGGGTTCACATGTTCGGGACATTTTATCGTGGAAAGAACCCTTTTCACATTCGGCTACGCAGTGGGTTCCTTGTAGAATAAGGGGATTCGCGCAGGATAAACAGGTGTGTTCTGTAGGTCCATCACATGTTTCACACGTCGAGTGACACGGCTTACAGTTACCGCCGTCAATATACTGATCTGAATAATAAAAGTAAATTACATTAAAAAAGAGTTTAGTTCTACTTTGGATCATATTGTTTTTACCTGTTCCACACTTTTCGCTTCCATGAGGAACACATCTTCCTTTTGAATTGATTTGCCAATCGTCGAGACAGGAAATGCAGGTAGTTTTGTTGCATTCTGAACATCCTGGAGGGCATTCGACACATTCTTTTTGGACTGTGTCGGCATAATGATGGGCAGGACAGTCCTTTAAACATTGTCCTTCATGCCAGTAACGTCCCAACTCGCAGGATATGCATTGTGTGCTATTGGAACCGTGACAAGTACCACAAGTTTCATGACAGGAAGAACATCTGAACAATAAAGAGTGATTTTTATCATTTAGAAACAACTGAATTAGTAATGGTAGACATACGTGTAATCTTCTGTTTCAAACGTCCTCGAAGGGCACGCTGCAAGACATCGCCCTTGATGTAACAATAGATGGTGATCACAGCTAGTACAATAATCTGGTCGATCCTGACAGCTTCCGCAGTTCGGTTGGCAAGGGATGCAAGTCTTATCCATGTAATCTGAAAAAAGACAAGGAAATATAGATACAAACGTTACAAAATCTTTTTTAACTAACTTACTTTCGAAATAGCCTTCAGGACATTGTTGCATACAAACGTCCAAATCTAAGACACGAACATGTCCCGGTGAACACGAAACACAATTATTTTGACCTGGTCCTGTACAAGTGTCGCAGGATTCATGGCACGGCTTACAAACACCCTGTGTATCAGCGTAACTCCTCGGAGGACACGTACCAACACACATACTGGAAAGACAAATAATTCATGTTGTTAGACAATAGTAATGAAAGATAAAAGTATTTTTCTTACTTGTCCAGTCTTTTATTTTGACAACCAATACATTTATCGGCACCAATTCCATAGCAACCCCTATCGTCGCATTCGGGATCACAATTCTCTTTGTTGTCTATGTCATTGTCACCATCAATCCTATTGTCGGTATTATCCCTTACTTTGTTCAACTTTTTGCCGTCTAATGAACTTATCGCTCTTTCCGGTTCTGATCCAGAAAAGGTGTACACATTTGGGAAGTTGTTGAAGTCTTTGAAGAATTCTGCGTTAAAGTAATCATTTGGCGTAACCTGACTTTCTTCTGTGACAAGTTCTGCTTCCTGGGAGGGAAAAGTGAAGGAATTTAGATGAGATTTCCAAGGGGTAGAAGAAGGATTACCGGGTGGTCTTAACCTGATCGGATTGACAGCGGTGCCGTAGAATATCAACTGCCATTTCTTGAGAATTCCTGCTTGATTTACGTGACGATTACCTGCGTTCACTATTTGCAATGTCCATCTTCCGTCAGCTTTTTCACCCCAGAAATGAACGCTAAGGAAAGGCCAATCGTCAAAGTTTGAATTTACAACGTCTCTCGGCCTTTCAAACAAAAGAGTAGACGTGGTTCCCATAGGAGAAGTTAGCAAAATCCTCAAATTGCCACGGGGGAAGAAACGTAAGGAAATTTTGCACTGAACATGTTCTAGAAAATGAACCTCATTAAGTGTATTTCTACATCCATCCACGTCCATGTGAGCAGATAATGTGTATCCATAATTGGACTCGATTTGACGTTCTTCTAGTATTTCTCTCGATTTACAAATATGTTGTGCAGGAACTGTAGTCCATTTTTCAGCCAAACTGACCAAAGCACCCGCGTCCATAAGTCCGTATCCAAATTTGTGACTTACTTTCCTTTTAACTCCGTTTGTTATCCAGCCGGGTTCTTTTTCTAAGGGTTCTGGTCGTGATGTTAGAACCACAAGATACTGCATATCTCTCCACGTTAAGCTGGGATTAGCTTCAAGTGCCAAAGCGCAAATTCCAGCTGCCAGGGGAGCTGAAGCAGAAGTTCCAGTATGTTCAACTGTACAAATGTGGTCAGGCCGAAGACGGGCATCCATATCCACAGTTGCTACACTCTTGTCATGTCCAGGAGTTCCTGAGCTATACGTTGTTGCTAACGTTGAAGAGCACTCTTCTAAATACCAGGGTTTGTACCTAAAATTCATTTAGATGGAGAAGCTAAAGTTAAGTCTACCTCTTGATTAATCAACCTACCCTCCTTGTGTTGCGCTAGATATACTTAAAGTGAAAATACTGTTTGTGTATCCATCACAGTTGCATGAATCGGTATGTCGACCCCCATTCCCTGAAGCCCATACGAAAATCGACCCCTTCCCTTTTCGCCCGCTGGTTACCCCATAAATGAACGCTCGCCTTGCTAAAGGACCTGGTCCATCCACTGTTTTGCCATCATCCTCTGGGCCCCAAGATGCGCTATAGATGTCGATATGATCTGGATTCAGTCCCAAAGCTCGTGCTTCAACGGCGTCATTTACCACCCCATCCAACATTCTTACTCCTGATAATAAAATAATCATTAATAAATCATAATAATTTATTTCCAATAAAATTCTTGTAAGTACGTGGAGATTATATTAGTCTGCTTTAATACCACGATCGTTTGAAAAAAATAAATAATATATTTTAAGTGACTATATTATCAGAAGCTCGTGATAATTTTGAAAATATGCCTCCTAAATTCCCTTTATTTTCCCTTTTTATTGTCCATTTCCGTTGAATTGGTTTTAGCGTTTAATTACAACTCATTACGGTTATTGGGAGACGAATGAATATCTGCATATTATCAATGATATGTTGGCAGTAATAATTAATGCGAATTTAATATCGTGGTTTTCATATTATTAGCCCCAAGTAATAATTGCTATTCATTTTATTGGGCAGTCGGGTTGTGTTAAAATCAGGCAAACACGATTATCGAACGCAATGCACCACGATGACAATAATATTCGATTGCTTCATCCGCGAAATTTCTGTTTTAATTTCGAATGAAAATATTCACGGATCAGTGCTTTTGATCCAGTTAATTGGTCTGTTTTCTGATTTTCAAATGAGCAATGCATATAAGTTGTAAGGGAGTTGCTTAATTTATTTTAAATCTGCCTCCAACTTTTTTAAATTTATTTGACTAATTCAATGATTTTTGCAAAACAATAAACGTACTTAAATACCTAACGTTTTATTAAAATTAAATTAATTAAAATAAAAGTTGAGTTAACTTAAGTAAAGCAATGTTATGTTCAAGTCGATTTATAATCAATTTTAAGTTGTTGGGAAGTACCTAAGTTCTATACGAGGATTTGTTGATTTAAGATCTTCTGTTAGAACAGGTCAAAGGTTATAGACGGTAGATTCGTAGCTCGTAGAGATAAAGGGGACGTTAGTGGTAGTTTCATGGTTCATGATGCACGATATTGAGTGGGGAATTTCGGACCCAGCAGTAATTTCTACCAGAAATTACTGGTGCCAATGATGTCATTACATGTTCACGAAAGTTTGGATATGCAAAGTCATCATTTAAAGTGGTATTGTAAATTCATTACTCGTTACTCTAGTTCTCATAACGTAATAAATAAATTCTAGGATTCTCTGTTCCAATTTTGACGAACTCCAGTGGAACGCCCTAATCGAGAGAATTTTAATATAAAAAAGTACGAACTTTGCAAATCTATAATTGATGAATTAGTCGTATTAATTTCTCAACAAGATGAAATGGTACTTTTATAGTAATTAATGCTATCGACATTCTATGGGATATGTTAAGAAATACAAAAAAAGAAAAAATTATTAATTGGTCAGCTAAAATTAATAAATAAGGTCATGCGCAAATTTTCGATTAACTTCAATGTCAAGAAACTGACCTATTATATTAAAATTGATTGTGCGATTGATTATTCTTACATGTTTTAACGCTAAATTATTTATAAATATTTGAAGCTTTCAAAAGGTTATGACCTTATTGGTTTCTTACTTATTCGACCAAATTCTTATTTTAGTTAAATTAAATGTAAATATTATTTCTATTCTATTTGCTGTTTATGAGGTCAAAATTATTGGCTTAAGTTAAATAATAGTTCTTAATTTTCCTTTTTCTTTTGGAATAATTAATAAAGAATAAGTCAACGGGGGGGGGGGGGCAAGAGTAATTAAGAAGGTCATTTTCCTTGCGACTTAACTGTAGACCGAACCCAACTACGAGGTGTCCGAAATCATTAATGTACATACAGCAATAACTGAACTTGATTTTTAAATTATGAATAATTCGTCTTAACATTTCTGAAGGGAAGCTTTCTTAAACATCAGTAAGTGCAATGGTACAAATGTATTCATCAACTCTTGTTTCCTTATTTACCTTTGTCGCCCGTTTTAATTGGAAAAAAGACACTGATGCTAAAATAGTTTATGAAAGATTAGAACCAAATAGGCTTGCAAACAATTTTATTGATGTAAAATCAACATCAATCATTTTATATCAAAATATTTACAACCGCATTTTGTTTCCGGTCTTTTATACATTGTAATAAGAGAAAGAAATGGAATCCGAGTTTCTTTAGCTTTGGGTTCATCCAATAAGTGAAGTTTTTCGAATCGTTTTTTAAGAATTTTGGATTATACGAATTTATTAGCACACCACAATATCTTGCAGTTTTCAGTTTTACACAGCTGGCGTACATCAATTCGATATTGTTTTGCGGGCTGTTTTGTCATAGAATTTCGTAATTCCCTGGTAAAGGTACGATAAGTGGTGATTTGGCAGGTGCTTATATCAATTTGGAACTTCGAAATTCCATGGACCATAACATCGAACCCAAAAAATAAAATCGATCCAATATTTTAGATTATCCATTTCAATTTAGAATTCGTTAGGCTTTCTTCAGTTAAAGAATTAACAAACAAAAGATTTTTAGTATTTGAAATTTGTTACTAGATTTTGACGCTAATGAAAAAAAAAAAGAAACTTTACCAGTGTTTGATAAAAAGGATCTACAAGACTAGATAACACACGGTTGAAATATAGAATCAAATAATTTTTTTTTCTATATGTTCTCGAGCTTTTTCTCACAACTACCACATGCAAGCTCGCATGTATGACAAGAAATTTATGCGGTTAAGACAATTATTGTGTCGATAAATAGAAAAATTTGTGCTTAGAATTATTAAAAAAACAACGTAAGCATCACATTATATGAACAAGACCAAGTCTTAACACGCAAGACCAAGACCGAGACCAAAACTAAAAGTATTTGAACAAAACCAAGACGAAGAACGAACAAGCAAGACCAATACCAAGACGGAGACAGTTTTGGTCTTTATCTTGCTTTGCCCGTCACTAAAAACGGTTTGCAATTAAGTATGACCGATCAAAGGTAAGTCCGTAAAAAAATTCTCAAAGAAGCTACAGTCAACATCAATTAAATAATAATAACAATAATTGATTTTCAAAAGGAATTTTAATTTCGAGCGAAATAATTAATTTGCAAGAGTATCTAAACAGCAGAAGAATTAAGAAGTTGGATAACTTCTGGCGCAAGCAGTACAAAAAACAAAATTAAATACTTGTTATCGTGATGATGAAACTTAAATTACTTTTTGCGAAAGAACGAGACTTAGTTTGCAACATTTTCACCACCGAATGCTTGTTAGTTGAAATTCTATCGTGCGGTTCCCGGTTGTTTGGTAGGCGTAAATAATTTAGCCAGTTAGTTAAGCAAAACAGATAACACCGGGGGTCGCGTAATATTAAATGAAACAGTCATACCCTTGCAAATATTCAAACTTCGAAAATGGAGATTTGTAAGCGCCATTGTTTTCGTTTTGTTGTTTGTTTCTTCCGACTTGAAATACGCTGCAAGTTAATTTCGGCTGTAGCGTCTTTTATTCGGCGTCGCGATGAAAGTTTTTGAGATACGGGGCAAAGACGACGGCGACGACGACGGCAACGGCGTCAGCAAGTTTGTTTGTTCACAGGCGAGAAGGCGCAGCCCGAGATTAGAGAATACGCCTTGGCATACATAAGGTGCAAATTTACAACAAATTTCCTTTTACATTCGCACTATCTTTATTACACGTTTACAACCTCGAATGAGGTAGCACGATAAACTTTGATTTAATATCCTATATTCACCCTTTCTAGTAAACAAAATTGTAAATATCAGCCAAAATTATTAGATTACTTTTTCAAAAATATATGATATCAGTTTTTGATTATATTTTTCTTATTGAGCTACAGAATGTTTTTTACGTAATTATTATCATAATAAAGTATGCACCCGACATAAAAATGTTCAGTCTCCCAGAGTCTTTGAAAACGAGGCTCGAGTCTTTCTGGTGTCGCTGAGAGAGACTGTCAAAAAACCTGTTTAGCGTCTCTGAACGAGAGACTCGAATCTCTAAACGAGAGACTCGAATCTCTCAATAAGTGGTGTCTCGATAGACATGGTTAAAATTTTCTATGTTCAACATATTTCAGAGATCCCAGTCTTTCTACAAGAGACTCGAGTCTCTCTTAGAAACACTGGGATCTCTGAAATATGTTGAAAATTTTAACCATGTCTATCGAGACACCACTTATTGAGAGATTCGAGTCTCTCGTTCAGAGATTNTCTAGTTTTAGAGAAATAAGAAGATTAGCTTAGGATAGGAAAGAGTGGAAGTGCGTGTCCTTTCAGTCTTAGGACTGACGACCTTATGATGATGAATCAAATTACTGTTGTTAAGTCTATCTTTATTAATCCTTATTAGAATCTTAAATCAAGATATCAGACAACATAAGTACTTCTTTCGTGTTGTCTCTTACTACTGTAACATTATAATCTTCACCTATATTATATATTATATTTGCTGTATTCCATAAAATAATATTGAGTACCGCAGTGAAAATTTACGTTGGTAACAGTTCTGCTTAAAACCTCGTTGTGGCTTACTTTTCCGAAGAAAATTAACGGAAATTCCGTGTATAAACTTATTTAGATCAATCACCCTGTACGTAAACAAGTGACGCGAATTTGTTTTAAATACAAAGTAACGTGACCCGATTAAGTAAATGAAAACGGCACACCACTGTGATTCAATTGTCGCACGTACATTGTTGCGATAAATGGTCAATCAGGGGGACACTTTGAACTTTTAATTTACTCCAAAAATATCCGGGGCGAATAACGCTATTAATATTCCGTCCTATTGGGGGATGGAGACAAGGAACTTACACATTCACCGCGTTATTCTTGTCAAATCTCGGCAAATTGTTCCCGTAATCGAGTTTGTTATCCGAAATTCGGGAATTAGAGGGCGGCGAATGAGATCAGTATTGATTCGGAACAGATAGGTAGATATAAAATGTAACTTCCGCTTCGCATCTGACATCCGCACACTGACGACGATGACGACAGCGGTGATGGTGGTGGTTTTAAATTCGTCGAAAGCAGTGGCGTACACTTTACATTTGCGTTTTCTTGTACGAAAGTAATCTCATCATCATAAGGTCTTCAGTCCTAAAACTGT